TGAAAAATTATGAAAAAAAGTAGTAAATTTTTCTTATAAAACTACATTGTTCAATCATGAAGGTGATGGAGAGGGTGGGGTTTAAGTGGGATCTTAAATCATAAGAAGAACAGGACTTAATAATGTTTTAAAAATGCCTTTTAGAACTTTTTGAAACAATGCGGCATATATATGCAAATTTCTGGGCAAACAGTATCAGCCAATGGAATAACTAGAATTCAACTTCAAGAAGAGTGACTCTAAGTCCCCCTCTGCCTGGACAGTTCCAGGTTATACCTATTGTCTCAGAGTAGTTACTAATAGTACCTTCTTTGATGCTCAAAGCATCCTGTTTGGATCATAAATTACATTATAAGGAATTAGAGAGTTTTTATTGAGCAGAGAACTCAGTCTAAAGTAGAACCAAGATACATGAATTACATATAGTAGGTACTCAACAAACATTAGCTGCTATAAGATTATTGTCATTATTATTAATTCACAAGCAACAGGTTTTAAAGACAGTCTATGTATGAAAAGGAAACAAAAATGCACACCCCAATATTTCAGTCATATCTCTACAACTGAATATTGTTTTTCTCTACATTCCCACATGTGGTCATGTAGTGTCATCTGAAAATAGATGGCAGTCTTCTTACTCTTTTTTTGTATACAAAAATGTAATTCAAGATAATTACAAAAGGCTTTTTGTCTTCAAAATGTCAGAGGGATTTGTATAATGTAAAGATAGCTTTTAAATTATTACCAAATATGGCCTTTCTTATGATTATTATTATCCAAGTTTAGCAAATTACCTTCAATGCTTTGGGACAAGAAGGCAAAAAAATAAAAAACAAAAAAGACAGGAATGGCATTTAGATCTGCTTTAAATACAGCTATCTGAAGTGTTCTCTTGTTTTGACTTATTCCAGAAGGAAAACTTAAAACAATGAGTAAATGAGTATAAGTTACAAAGAGGCATATTTTAGCTCAACATAAGGATTTTTAAAATAGAGTTGTCCAACAGAATGGTTTGTTTCAGGAAATGATGAGCTCCTTTGCTGAAGATATCCAAATTGAGACCGGATAAGCATATGCCAAGGATGCTGCAGGAAACATTTCTGCACTGTGTGGGAGATTAGCCAACAGAAGATGATGTCTTAAGTTCTTCCAATGCTAAATTTTATAATCTTATGTCTATTCCAAACATTAATAACTACTTTAATGATACAAACTCTGAGGGCCTGGTTAAGAAAATGAAAAAGAAGAAAAACAAACAAATAAACTTCTCTTGGGTTCCAGGGAAAGCAGACTATATGAAGATGCTTTTTTTTAATGCTAAGATAAGAAAAGTTAGTACATTTTAAAAGTATATGCTTTATGACGCACAAAATTATTTTATAAGATATAGTACAAACAATAAAACATGCATTTCTACAAGTAAATGAACTGAAGAATAAGCAATCATTTGCTGAATTATTAAATTACACCAAACAAGAGAAGAAGCAGCTAGGCAGAAAGCCACTGAAGGACTTGCTGAGCAAGGTTTTCTATAGTCTTACAGTCCTAGGGGGACAAAAACTATAGTTCAGAAACTTCCAAGGGGGAGAAATCTTAATTAAAAACTCCAGGATCTCAGTTAGAAACCCAGGTGTCCACATACTAGAAAAGCAGAGACAAACAAAAGGTAGATTGAGCATCACCAAATCTGCAATTGAGTCCTAGAATTAGAATATGGTAATCTGCCAAGATTCTATTGGCAAACCAGATCCATAGAGAAAGATAACATTATCCAGAGCCTCTACAGGTTAGCAAACATAATATTTGATACTAATAAAAAAATAAGAAAACAGACATGACACAAAATAGGACAGGAGAAAAAATCAGATCAATTGACGACCCGTTTATTGGAATTATAAGGTTGGATAAAGAGAGCTATAATTAGGTTCAAAAAATAAATAACATGAAGAATTTATAAATTCTAAAAAATCAAATAGAAATTCTGGGACTAAAAATGTAATAACTGAAATTTAAAACTCAATAGGTGGGCTAAAGAGAATATTGGAAGATGAAGAGAGGATAAGTGATCTGAAAGAAATACCAGAAAGTATTTGGGTTGAAATTTGGTGAATAAAAGAGATGAAACACTAAAAAGTTTATAGCTTTAACTAAGATGAGTAAAAAAGTATACCTAATTGGCATCCTAGAGGAAAAACAGGACAGGAAAAAAAATTGAAGAAATAAAGGCAAAGAATTTCCAAATTGAAAGACATCAAGTCAAAGAAAACTGCAACAAGTCACATCATAGCAAAACTGCTGAAAAAAAGACAAAGAAAAATATTTCCAAATTACAGAAATAAGAATGATAGTTGATTTTTCAATGGTAATAATGAAAGACAGATAACGGAATGACATTTTCAAGTTGCTGAAAGAAAGCTGTCATCCTAAGATTTTATACCCACCAAAAATATCCTCCAAAAGTGAAAGTGAAATAAAGACATTAGCAAACAAACAAAAAAGCAAGTGAAATTGTTGCCAGCATATGCCCACTGAAATAAAAACAAAAATGAGTTCTTCTGTAAAAAGAAAAATAATTCCAAGGAAACATAGAAATTCAACAGGGAGAGTAAAAACTGGGGGTAAATATAAAGGAATACTGACCATACAAAATAGAAACTATGATGTGTTCTGAGGAATAAAACATAGATAGGACTAAAATGTTTGATAACAATAACACAAAGAACGGTGATATATGGACTTAAATATTCTAAGGGCCTAGCATTTTCCAAGAAGTTTTAAATGTATGAAACTATATTAGGTTGTAATAAGTACAAGTTGTATGGTGTATTCTTTGGGATATGTACTAAAACATATAAAAGAATGTATACCTAACATGAAGAAAGTCTGATTAACCTTAAATAATGTACAGAAGGAAAATAAAGAAACATGAAACCAGTGAGAAAAAGAGAAAATATTGGGTTGCCCAAAAAGTTTGTTCTGGTTTTTCTGTAACATCTTACAGAAAGACCCAAACGAACTTTTTGGCCAACTCGATAGTTAGACGATAAGTATAAACACAAATCCATGGCTAATTAAAAGTAACTGCTCTAATTAAGTGGCAAATAGTTTCAAACTGGATTAAAATTACAGCTAGATGCTACTTATAACGGATATTCTTTAAATATAAGAATAGAGAAAATTTGGAAGTAAAAGGATGAAAAAGTACATACCATGGAAACACTAACCAAAAAAATCAGTGCAGTGCATTTATTTTACTTTGAAAGTGGATGTATAGTAAAAGGATATCCATCAGAAAGATAAAACAATTCTAAACTTGCTTTCACATATCTTCAACTATCTAAAGCAAAATTGACAAAACTTAAAGGAGAACATAAGCCCATACAACCACCTCTCTCAATTACTGGTGAAGAAAAGAAAGAAAAAAATCAGCAAAGCTATAGAAGATCTAAAGAATATTTTAAAAAAAATTAGGGCTTCCCTGGTGGCGCAGTGGTTGAGAGTCCATCTGCCGATGCAGGGGACACGGGTTCGTGCCCTGGTCTGGGAAGATCCCCCATGCCGCGGAGCGGCTGGGCCCGTGAGCCATGGCCGCTGAGCCTGCGCGTCCGGAGCCTGTGCTCCGCAACGGGAGAGGCCACAACAGTGAGCAGCCCACGTACCACAAAAAAAAATAAAATAAAATAAAAGAAATTAAAGTATAGTTGATTTACAATATTGTGTTAATTTCAGGTATACAGCCTAATGATTCAGGTTTTTGCAGACTGTATTTCAATGTTACAAGTAATTATAAGATATAGGATTTAATTTCCTGTGCTATACAGTAAATCCTTGTTGCTTATCTATTTTACGAATACTAATTTGTTAATCTCATACTCCTCATTTGTCCATCCCTCTTCCCTCTCCCCTTTGGTAACCATAAGTTTGTTTTCTACGTCTGTGAGCCTGTTTCTGTTTTGTATATGGATTCATTTGTGTTAATTTTTTAGATTCCATGTATACGAGATATCATATGGTATTTGTCTTTCTCTGACATTTCACTAAGCATAATATTCTCTAGGTCCATCCACATTGCTGTAAATGGCAATATTTCGTTTTTTTATGGCTGAGTAATTCCATTATATATATATATATATATATATATATATATATATATTACAACTTAAGCCAGTCATCAGTTGACAGGTACTTGTGTTGCTTCTGTGTCTTGGTTATTGTAAATAGTGCTGCTATGAACATTGGGGTGCATGTACTAAAGAATACTTTTTTTTTTTGCGGTACACGGGCCTCTCACTGTTGTGGCCTCTCCCGTTGCGGAGCACAGGCTCCAGACGCGCAGGCACAGCGGCCATGGCTCACGGGCCCAGCCACCCCGCGGCATGTGGGATCTTCCCGGACCGGGGCACGAACCCGCGTCCCCTGCATCAGCAGGCGGACTCTCAACCACTGCGCCACCAGGGAAGCCCTAAAGAATACTTTTAATAAACCTTCCTTAATTGGCATATATACAACCCTGCACCAAATAATAAAAGAATACATACATATATGAATCATTTACCAAAACTGATCATGTGCTCGGCCATAAAGCAAGCCTCAACAAATTGCAAGAGACTAAAATTATCTAGAGTACATTCTTTGACTATCATTTAGTTAAGCTAGAAATCAATAACCAAAAAATTACAAATATATTTGTTTCATATTCCAAACTAAGACTATAACAAATTGGAATTAATTCATACTTATTTTCAGTTAATTACCAAAAAAATTTAAATAGTGTTTTAACTTTTCATAGATGAAATAATATATAGAATTGCTTTTCTTAATTATTTTTGCCTATATATCAAGTTCCCCTCTTAAAGATGTCACTATATATACTTGGGATCACTAACATGATAAAGATTATAGTTGAATTGAAAACTTTGTTATTAAAAAAGAGCCAACTTGTCAACTTCCTTCACATATTTAGTTGATTGCCACAAAAACAAGAAAACATGTCTACTAACCTTGATAGACTATATGGTCCAATGCTAGCAGGTGCCCAGTGAGAAATATTCTGAACATGCAGAATCTCTTTAGGGTGAAAGAGACCATCATCAATCTTTATGTCACTCTGGTGGATAAGGCAATCTATTGAGAAAAGTGCTTCTTCTGGCAACATAGTTTCTACACATACTCTGAAAAATAAACCAAATTTAAAGGAACAATGTAAAACAAAAAAACAAAAACAAAACCAAGAAAGTCGATGTGGAAAGGATCTTCTCTCATTGTTGTAGTTCAAGGTCACTGACGGAACCTAAACATTAATTTCTTGTCCCTCTAAAAATTCTACTGAAGTGACAGTAGGAATATAAATCTAAAAATATATCTGTAGCAATGCTGCAAAGTTAGAGGGTACTACCAGCATGCAAGAATAGGAAGGAATTTATGGAAGGTTTAAAACAAAATTGGGAAAGAAAGATTAAGAAAGAATTACACAGTAGAATCATCCTGAAGGCAGGACACTGGTGCAATTGTTTTACCACCCTAGCCAACCAGACATAACCTATTCTTCTCAGTTCCCTGCAGTCTTTTATCTTGGGCTTATTTATAGACTCCTTTTGTTCTGAAGGATATTTTCCATCTCTATGGAGCTGCAGGCTCCCCTTTGCTGGTATATGCCATCAATCTTATCCTATTTGCTTTATACCTTCCAGAAATTTGCACTTCTGATGGCACCCTTCCCTGCTTTCTAAAGTTGCTATGGATTTATTATTGTTTTACATTTCTTCTGTCATTTCAATGAAATTTTGGTAGGATAGAAAGATAAAAGCTGTCAAAATATGAGTCAGCTCTCTTGAACCAGTATATAAATTTCTATGTCAATTCACTTGAATTATCTGAGCAATTAAATAAATGTAATCTGATAGCACTTCCTAGTTTACTGAAATGGGAGCCATCTGTCTTAATTCCAACTCTCCACTAATGTTTTAGTAAATTCATCCAGACTGTGCTTTTTCAATCTTGCTTCAGCATAAGAAGCATACCCCATCCCTTCTCTACTCCTACCCTCTTTTGTATCTCCAATCTTTCTCCTGTGGGCTCTTCTTTTCTCTTAAAACAGATTTTAAATTTCCCTATTCTAAAAATATCTCTTCCGTTTCACCTCCATCCTACCTTTCACAGCCCTCACATTAACTCCTAAGCCCAAAGAGCAATAAACATTGCCAAACACTCACCCTTGAGGAAGCCTTCCTGGGAGTTCCCTGATCCCAATGCTACTGTGGTCCTTGTCCTACCTCTATATCAACTCTTTAGTCTGAAGGTAGTGGGACAGTGGGGATTCTCTCAATGTTGTGTGGAAAGGGTACTAATGCCAAAGACAGAGAAGAATCATGGAAATTGATCAGAAATAGGAAGAAAAGAATTAAAAACAATGTTGAGGCCCTCATAAGTCAAACCTATGTTCTTTTCTTAGTCTTCATTTGTAGTAATGAATACTACTGAACCCTGACTCTCGTTGAAGGTATCTTCCCTAGGATTCCATGGTCCTACTTGAATTCGGTCCTCTTCCTACCTCTTGGATAATTCCTTCTTAGTCTGAAGGGAGTCATATAGTGGGGTAGGTTTTTACAATAGGGAGGGCAATCTGCAGGAGTGTCAAATATATATATATTTTTGAAATTCATCAAAACTTTGAAGGAATAGATGGAAAACAGGACAAAGCCTGAGAAAACAGGGTTGGAAGCAATATGAATTGAAAGGTGGATTTAACCAGTTAGTTGGGAAACAAAGCAGAAATAACACTTGGTTTCAGAGCCAATGAGGTCTGAATAGGAAGTTGTAATCTTAGTGCTGCCTACATGGTGGAATGGCTGGCAGATGTCAGGCGCTTAAGCCCTTAAGTGTAGCAAATCAGATGAGCATTTCCAATCTCATCTGCCTAATGGGAAAAGAGCTCCTCATATATTGAGTCACTGTCCTCCACTGGTTCTGGGGGCAGATGGGTTAGCCTTCTCATGGCTGGATGCTGCTCACTGTGGCTACCTGGAATGGGCCTAGAGCAAGGCAGAGATCTTGGAGAAAGTACCAATTTCCCTGCTTAATGCCACAATATTCTTTTATCCCATGCCTACTAAGTCTTAAAGCATTCTCTCATCAGTAAATTCTTTTCTGCTTATTTACTTCTAGTGGGACGGGGGTTGTTTTATAGAAAAATTATTTTTATCTCTGAGTGTGCCATGGAAAAAGTCTTTTTACTTTCTTTTGTTTTTAAAATATATGTCCCTAGTATAGTGTTCTGCATCAAAATTAAATAAATACCTATTTCTAGAAAACTTCCTATAAAAAATTAACTTTTCTGTCAAACAACTGGAATTTCTTGAAGCATTTTATATTGTACAATCAAAACCATTTTTATTTTCTTCACTTTTTAAAAATAATTAATTAATTAATTAATTTTATTTTCGACTTGCTGGGTCTTCGTTGCTGTACACGGGCTTTCTCTAGCTGCAGTGAGTGGGGGCTACTCTTCATTGCGGTGCGTGGGCTTCTCATTGTTGTGGCTTCTCTTGCTGCGGAGCACGGGCTCTAGGCACGCGGGTTTCAGTAGTCATGGCTCACGGGCTTAGTTGCTCCGTGGCATGTCGGGTCTTCCTGGGCCAGGGATTGAACCCATGTCCCCTGCATTGGCAGGTGGATTCTTAACCACTGTGCCACCAGGGAAGCCCTTCTTTCACTTTTTAATTTGAAAGTTATATATTCCAAAATAATTGGAAAAGATAATTAAATATTAGCAAATTGTCCTGATTAGTCTTGTGCAGGCAAAACAACAACAAAACATCTGATGTTTGGTTGTTTAAAATTATGTCTGAAACCATTTATTTTTAAGGATAATTAAAACAAGGCCAAATTAGACAATTTGAAAATGACCATACACTGGAGGTATAGAGATGAATTAAGGGAGTAAAAGGAAGAGTGTACTGGTTCCACGAAGATTCGTTCTTTACCTCACTGCCAATGCCACTTTCCAATATTAATTTTTCTCTCCTCATATCCCAGAATCCCTTTATTTCTTAAGCCTTACCATGAATGTGTATCTCCATTTGTGAATTACTGACAACTGTTGTTAAGAAATAGTAAGCATTGGTAAATAAGAGAGAGAAATAAAAGAAACCTGTGATAATAAACCATGCTAGAAAACCACATAAATTTGAAAAACAACACAACCACTATACCAATGGGAGAGAACATGATAACGAACAGGTTTCAAAGTCAGGGATATCAGAGCGTGAACCTTGAGTGAGTATTAAAGGAGATAACCAGAGAAATGCCTGGTATCAGGCATTCAGGCAACTTTCCCTTCATGTAGCAGTAAGTTACATACCTTGCACGCAGGCAATGCTTGAAGGTGGTCACATATGCTGAGTTAATAGATGAGAAATCTTTCATGTTTTTCAGATAGAGATGGACCAAAATAATATCTTTCAATTCCAATCTCTTAGATTTAATAGTAGCTGCAGAAGGAAACATATATCCATAAGTTTAGGAAAACTATGAAAATTATTAGTGATATCTTGAGTAGATTTTATACAAAATACTTGCCATTTATAATATTTATATTCTTGACAATGGATTAGTGTGATTGCAGTATTTGGTGATGGTATAATGCAGAGGTTAGCAAACTTTTTCTATAAAGGACCAGATAGTAAATATTTTAAATTTTGCAGGCCAAGAGGCAAAATTGAGGACATCATCTGGAACATGACAAATTATAGAAAATCTAACAAAATGTAGAAAACAAACTGCTTTGTTAACAAAATTCAAAATGTAATAATAGTAATTGAGATCATTAAAAAATACATGTCTACTAATGAGAAGAATGAAGTTCTCTTTTTTTTTTTCTTTTGGGATAACATTTCACTTAATAAGTGTTCAAAGTTAGTACTCCCTGGCATCAGTTGCAAATGTTTATTTGTAAAAATCCTTCTTAGCTTGTAGGTGGTATCAAAATGGCAGCAAGCTGGCTTTGGCCTGTGGGCCTTAGTTAATTGACTTCTACACTAATGGTCTTTAAAGTTACCATAATTTGGCCTTTTATAAAACATGAAACGTGACTTTAAACTTTAGGTTTTAAGAAATAAAGCATCTGCAACTTATCAAGGTTTTTTTCCTGTATAAACTTCATGTTAATAAGATTAAATCAGTGAATATATTTTAAAGTGTTACCTTATGCAAAAAAAACCCATTGATTTTTATTTCAGAATACTTCCAATGAGTAATATCAATGATTTTAATACCTTATGTCTTAGCAAATGATAGCCAGAGTAAGGAAATAAACCATTACCGAAATTTCAATTAAAACAAATTGATCTAATTTCTGACCCTTAAATTGCTTGTAATGTCCTCTACACTAGATCTGAGCTTTCGACACTTCCCAGTTAGATCCACTGAAAATGATAGATTATAAATACTAAAAAGTTAATACCATTTTCTTAAGGATTGTTGATTGTTTCTGTATACTGTTATTCCTTACTTTCTCCAAAGTTCTGGAACTGAGATAAATCTTGATTGAACCAAGAAACTAAGAGGATTTAAGAAGATAAAGAAGTAAGAAACCAGAATCACCATCTGTTGAGACTGAAGATTACTAATAAAACAGAAAAGGGCAGTAAAATTCTTGGGATGAACTGAATCCTGGGATGATCATTGACTTTATGGGACTTAATTATTAAGGAACTTGCGGGAAAGTACCTCTCTTTAAGGGTGTTCCAGTTAGAACTTCGAATTTCAGGCAAAGAATGCTTAGAAGATAACTACACAGCTAATCATCAATAAAGCAGATAAAAGAAGTAGGATTTAATATATATTATATATTTTGAATAGAAGTAAATAGAAAACAAAATAACCTTCAAAGAGCTCCGTATGAAGATCTTAAGCTGCTTTTAAAATTAATATTATTTCATTCTTATACACTGAAACATTAAGTCAAATATAATAATCAATTTCCTTCATGTATCAGCAAACAGCCATTCTTGGGATGCCGAATTTCCTTTTTTTTTTTTTTTTTGTAGGCCACTAAGCTCATTAATTCAACATTCACTGACTATATTCTTTCTTGAAGTACTAAGAAAAATGAATGTAAATTATTCTGAAGTGTTATAGCTTAACATGCAAGTTAATACTTAAAAGTGAACCAAAGTTTAAAAAAGGTAAAGGAAAATCCCTAAGCAAATATTAAAGATTTAGTATCAAAAGCTAAAAAAGAAAAATTCCATTTTTGAGGAACTTCTTGCTTCAAGAATTATGAAACATTTGACTACTGGAAGATTTTCATTTTTTGTACATTTCAAAGAAAAACAGACTGCTATTTTTCTGAGTTCAAGTAAAATTCTGTGGAAGAGTAGAGATTCAGCCCAGATGAGCTTTTCCCATTCCTTTCTGTTTGGTGATCCTTTGATAAACATGACACCCAACAGCATTTATACCTAGGAGACAGAGGATACAACTACCAGGCAAAGGATTTAAAGTTCCCATGTCAGAATCCCTCTACAACTTCTCTTAGTCTAGAAGTAAAGAGAATTAGGAACTTTCCTCACTCACATCTTTGGTTTAAACAGTGTCTGATAGTTGCAGAGAGATTTTGAATTGGAACTCATGTTACACAAAATGTATCTACATTTGGGACTTGGGGCTCCCAACCCAAAGCTATTCCTTGAGGAAGATGTGCAGGTTATAAGGGTTTCCTGCCCCATTTTCTGGCAACACCTGGCTGGTTTGCTTGCCTACTAATAACACTTGGGATGGAGCTGCTTCCATTTGTGATGTGTTTGGAGACAGATACATCTTTGCACTGCCATGTGGGAAAAACTAGGGGTCCTGCTAACATGCAGCTACTCTCAAACTACAGTAGATAACAGATAGGCCAAAAGGTCCACTATTATACACAGCTTCCCAGAAGTTGAAGGTCATCTGTTACTGTGACCAATCTCTTTTTTCTGATCAAGTCTATACTGGGTAAATGTGCCAAGGAATGAAACTTTGGGACCATCAAGATACTCTACTGCTGTTTAATCCTTTGGAGATTATCCTTCCCATTATTCCATTGTACTATCTAGGTTCATGACATTTTAATGCCAAGAGTTTTAAGCTGAGGAATTTCCACATAGAAACCTAATTTTCATCCTAAAAATTAATTCATAAGAAAAAATTTAATTTATTTATGCACCTGTGAACCTCTCACTCCCAAAATGATTTGAGACAGCCACTTGTGAAAATTTACCTTGCTGGTAACTTTGTTAGAATCTGTTATCACACTAATGTTATAAACAAGAGATAATTGACCAAGACTCTGAAAGTGCTTAGTCTCTTGCATTTAGAAGATTATTTCAACTAGCTTATACTAAAACAAACAAACAGACAAAAAAAACAAACAAAAAACTGGGTTATGGATATTTGAGTGTGTTTTTTATATAATATTTTTGATCATTTTTGTATGTCTTGAACATCCCATAAATTTCAATAACAATAAAAAGCTACACCATATTTGCCATATTGGTAAAATAAAAGACATTAATAATAGCCAGTTTGGGCAAGTTTTAGCAAGTGTGAGTAAGCTGGAACTCTTATGCACATTTTAGTAGGCATATAAATTGGTTCAAACTTTTTGAACAGCAATTTAACAAAGTGTTCATAGTCCATATTTGTAATATGAAACATAAAATACAGCTTTTGGAAGACAACATGGTCTTCATGATCTTGAGATAGGGAAAGATTTTTCTTAAATGAGACACAGAAAGCATTAACCTTAAAAGACAAGAAAAGGAATGAATTGTTCATCAAAAGACATCATAAATAGAGTAAAATGGGAAGCCACAGTATCTGACACAGCTCACATCTAAAATAGAAAAAGAATTCTTACCAATTAATTAAAAACTATGACAGAGGGGTTTCCCTGGTAGCACAGTGTGTAAGACTCCGCCTGCCAATGTAGGGGACAGTGGTTCGAGCCCTGGTCTGGGAAGATCCCACATGCCGTGGAGCAACTAAGCCCATGCACCACAACTACTGAGCCCATGTGCCACAACTACTGAAGCACATGCACCTAGAGCCCGTGCTCTGCAACAAAAGAAGCCACTGCAATGAGAAGCCCACGCACCACAACAAAGAGTAGCCCCCGCTCACCGCAACTAGAGAAAGCCCGCACACAGCAATGAAGACCCAATGCAGCCAAAAATAAATAAATAAAATAAATAAATTTATATATAAAAAAAAAAACTATGATAGATAATCCTGTAGGAGAATGTACAAGAAACCTAAACAGACAAGTTACAAAAGAAGATATCCAAATGGCTAGAAAACATGATCAGAGAACTACAGATTAGAAATATATTGACATACCACTATGTACTCACTAGGATGGCAAATATTAAAAAGACTGACAACACAAAGTGTTGGTGAGGCTATGGAGCTAATGGAACCCTAATACACTGCTGGTGGGAGTTCAAATTGTTTTAAACACTTTAGAAAACCCAGCAATTCTACTCAATAAAAATGAATACACATTTGAACCAAAGATATGTACTAGAATATTCATAGCACTATTATTTGTAAACCCATAAAATACCCAAATGTCCATCATAAAATGGATAAATATAGTACATCCACACAATATGAATACTTTTCAGAAAAAAAAGAAAAAGGAAAGTAAAACCCCGACCATTTATACAACAATATGGATGAATTTTATAGCCACAGTGAAATGAAGTGGAAGAATCCAGGCACAAGGAACGCATAAGAATAAATAATAAATATTTACTTTATATAGAGCTCAAAAACAAGCAAAACTAATTATCTGTGGTATTAATTGTGAGAATGGTGTTCACTGTCAGGAAAGGGAGAAGGAATAGTGACTGAGAAGGGCACAAAGCTGTGAGGAGGACTTCTGCAGTCTTCATAATGTTTTATATTTTGACTTGGGTAGCAGTTACACAGGTGTGATCACTTTGTGAAAATTAACTAATTTGTATATTTGAATTGTGCTCTTTTTTTTGTGCTAATACTTCAACTAGAATGTAAGAAAAAAAGCAGTTTATGGATGTCCTAACAGAGATCCTCTCAATATCATTTAATTCATCCTGAGGCGACTGAACAGACGCATTTCTTCTTTCTTCTCAATCTGTACTGCCACCATCTTCTAATACGTTTTGGTTGTATTATACCTGTGTTACTTAATATTTTTTCTCACTGCCATTTCTGTATTACTGCATTTCTCTTTTTCCTTAGAGTGAAGAATGTAAGTCTGATAGCATCCAAGAGTCATTTTGGGTTGAAGTTTTTTCTGAATAATTTTATCCTTATTAACTGAAAACAATTTCCTTCTATTTTTCAAAAACTCTCTCTCCTGTACCACCTATTTCTATTCTGTTTATTTGAAACTGGGACCTCCCCAATTTTTCTTCCATGTCTCTCAATTTTTCTCCCATATTTTCCAAACTTTTTATTATATATTCTGGGA